CCTTCCTTCCTTCCTTCCTTCCTTCCTTCCTTCCTTCCTTCCTTCCTTCCTTCCTTCCTTCCTTCCTTCCTTCCTTCCTTCCTCTCTACCAGGCTTTCTTCTATCACAATTACAGAAAACAAATCCCACTGTACTTTTGGGACCTACTTTCAGATAAACGTAAAGAGAACTGCGCTGCAAGCCAATGTCAGAAACCGGTGCACAGAATAATAGTTACAGAGGCAGTATCAAACACTACTATATTCTTTCTGCCCAAATCTGAAAAATAAACAGGGGGGAATTAGGCATCTCCAAGAGGCTGAGTTCATAAAGACAACACCACTTCCCCCTCAAAAAAGTACTTTCATATCCTAAGTCCATTCCTTCATATCTAGAGTTAGATTCTTTCCAGTTGCATTCAATTATACCCAAACTGAGGTGGTTTGGTGAGTGCAGTTTTTCCTCCTAGTAAAATGACAATAGTTTAAAAAGGGCCATTGGCATATCAGGTAAAGGGAAAATGGACAGGACTAGTCAGTTGCACAGGATATAGAAATATCTCAATCTTAGCAAGTTTTATTTTAAGAGGAATTTGAGTACAAATTATACAACAAAAATAGTGGGAAAAAAATCCAACATAGAATCATAAGGCTGGAAGGGACCTTGGAGGTCTTCTAGCCCAACCTCCCTGATTGAAGCAGGAGATCTTATACCATCCCAGACAAATGGCTCTCTAGCCTATTTTTGAAACTATCCAGTAATGGAGCATCCATAACTTGTTCTCACTCTCTGAAAATTTCTCCTTATTTCTATGTTGGATCTTTCTTTAATAAACTTACTTCTTGTCCTTCCCTCGAATAACAGAAGCCATTAAAAACAAAGCTATGACTAGTACTTGTGAATTTTGTGTGCTCTTAATTCGAAGAAATGTTGATTCCAAAGATGATCAAATAAGATTTTCAGCCCGTGCTTCAGCCTGAAACCATGGCTGAACATTCAATACCAAATCCACCAGTGCTACTCCAAGCGGAATCCTCGCATCTTGCAAGGTACAAGTATCAAAATAAGCAAAGCTGAAGTGGGTTTTTAAACCCATTGATTTTCTGGTTCCAAGTGGAGTCTCTTAAGAAGCATTCCAGATGGTTGGGGGGAAAAAGAAAAAGGAAAGCAGCTGCATGTTCAGAATTCAGCCCTTCATTCTGGCACATTAGCATCCCTTTTCAAATCACCTGCAGCTTCCAGCCATTCAGCAAATGAGCATATTCAGGAGAAGTAATCAAGCGTAACTTCATTGGTTAATGTACTAAGCGAGCTGTACTCAGAGATCTCCAGGGAGTACTTGAGCAACGTATATGGATATATGAGGTCTCTAAATGAAACCTTGAGATGCTTTCTCATTGGTTCAAGATATTCTTACAGACCAGTATCTAGCACAGGAATACAAGAAAGGAAATATACTTTTTCTATGACTCACCTGGATTGTGCACCACACTATTAATGTTCTGTTCCTCTGCATATGGCTGGCAATAAGCATATTTCTAAGAATAACTGAATGTTTTGGTACGTTGAGTGAAGAACATATTTGAACATTAGTTCTAGCTTGAGATATTTGTCAAGGACACATATTTTAAGATCCTAAGTTGACCTAGGAACCTACTTTCCCCCGGGAGGGGAATCAGTCAAAATAAGCATTGTGATGGGATCATATAAACATTGCCTTTTGGACTTACTTCCTGACATTAGATGCACATACAAAAGTAGGGGCTTTGTATTGTGATATCATGACATATGATGCATTGTTTGGGCTCACTCAGACATCCAGAGATATGTATCTATGGAGATTCTCAATCATGCAAGTCATGGTTGTCCTAAAAGTGCTTTTTCCAAACATTTTACTTCTCAGCCAAGAGGCTTCTTCAGAATAACTGAAGAAACTTCTTGGAGATTAATACTGTATATACTCTATAGATACACATGTGAAGTTCATGTGATTATGGGGCAAGTTGTAATCTTAAATAATGACTGTATTCTGGTATGAAATAGAAGTGTAATGAAACAGGGAAAATCTTGATAAAAATACTACTGCGTTTAGTATATTTGCCAATGAAAAATAGCCAGCAAGGTCCAACCTAGTCACTTTTGACTTCTAAAAAAGGAAGGAACTGATGAAAAGAGGCCAGATCATTCCATAATGCCAGCAGTTATTTAAAACCACAATAATTGTGACTCAGTGGAATGTATTCCACATTGTAAGAAAAAGTTACCCAAGTCCAACTTGCCAACATAGTTTTCTAATATCCAGGAAGCTATAAAAATTAAGGATGCAGGGTTTTTTAGGAAATAGAAAACACAAAAGGAAGAAGCAAAACAAAAAGAGTGTGAACTTTTAAAAACGTATTTCCACATGATTGGGATAATCCCACGTGATTGGGGGCCACCCAGAGTTGGTTAGAAGATGGACAGCCACATAAATGTTTTAAATACATAAATAAAATAAATATTCAGCCTAGAAAACTGGGCAATTAAGCAACTTGGCTGATAAATGAGAAAAAATAATAAAAGGGCAAGGAAGATGCAGAGATTATTGATTTTATTGATCAAGTTCTTTACAGTTCTTTACATATAATAGACAATATAGGACAGGCATCTGTACCAAAATTAACTTTCTCAGGCAACCAGAGAATTAGAATACCTAAAGCAAATTGGGGTAACTAGAAAATATTCAATATTTTGAGAAACTATACAGGAAATGAATCACTAGGTATTGATAGCATTTACTATATCTGATCAAGTATGCCATTATTTCCTTGTGAAATATGTAGTTTTGCCCTCAAATCAGGTTTGTGCCAAAAGACAAGAAACAACTGATGTGGTATCAATTTTTAAACAAGATTTAGGAAATTATAAGCCACTCAGTTTAACATCTGGTTCATGAAAAATTGGTGGAAATGGTAATCAAAAGGGAAAAAATAAAGATACAGAGAAAGAAGTCTTGTTGTTAGAACATGAGAATGTATTAGGTAAAGGCATGTCACATCTAAGCAACTGAGAAATGGTTTCTAAAGTGCCAACAGGTGAAAAGAGAAGGACAGGGAAGGGAAGGGAAGGGGAGGGGAGGGGAGGGGAGGGGAGAGAAGAAGAGGGGAAGGGACAGGACAAGACAAGATAAAAGACAAGTTATGATAAGATAAAAAATAACACACATGCATATATATATATAATATTAGATAGAATATAGATAGAACATTAACATAATATTAACATTATATCCTTGAATTTTCAATAGAACTTTTGACAAATTCCTCATCAAATGCTTTTGAGTAAATTTAGTGGCCATGGGATAAGAAGACATGCCCTTTTAGGTATTGCCAGTAGATTAAAAGCAGAAAATAAAAACTAGAGTCCCTTAAGGAAGTGCATGGGAACAGGTGCTTTTAAACATTTTCTTACCAGATCTTTCTTTAAGGTAACTAATGTCACTGCCACGTTCATTGAAGAGAACAGCTACAGAGAGTCTTCAATTTACCAATGCAGTTGGGACCAGGGTTTCTGTTGCTAAGCAAAGTAGTTGTTGTGCGAGTTGTGCCCAAGCTTTTTGCCATGGTTGTTAAGCAAAACACTGCAATTGTTAAGTGATCACACAGTCGTTAAATGAATCCAGCTTCCCCGTTGACTTTGCTTGTCAGAAGCCAGCTGGGAAGGTTCTAAACTGCGATCACAAAAGTGATTGCAAAGTCCAAGGAGTTATTATTTAAGTGTGGGGAATCAGGATCAACCAACTGTAAATGGGTTTCAGTTTAAACATAAGTCAAGTCACACTGGAGCATGAAACCTCTGACTTCACAAATATATATACAGGGTTTGAGCTGCCTGTGACTAACCAGGAAGAAGATCTTGAAGGCTTGGTTGATAGCAAATAAATATATTACTGTAACTCAATGTGAATTGAGCTGCGAAAAGGCAAATTCCATGTTAAGGATCATTGGAAAGGGACTGGAAGTAAAATTGCCAAAACGGTATTGTTCCTATGCCAGTCTGTGTCTTATTCATATGTGGAAAACTGTACAGTTTTGGTGGCTAGATTGAAAAAGGATATAATAAAATGCTATTCTCCAAAGCACCTGAGGGCAGGAGAAGAAGCAATGGGTGGAACTAATTAAGGAGAGAAGCAGCTTAGAACAATTTGTCTCCAGAAGTTGTGAATGCTCCAACACTGGAAGTTTTTAAACAGATATTGGATAACCATTTGAAGTGGTGTAGGGTTTCCTGCCTAGGCAGGGGGTTGGACTAGAAGACCTCCAAGGTCCCTTCCAACTCTGTCATTCTTTTCTAAAGAAATAAGAGAGTGATTAAAATAATCAGCGACTGTGACACAATTTCCTTGAATTTATATGGCTT